CATCTGCCTCGGCCTCCCAAAGTGCTGCGATTACCGGTGAATGTGATATTGGTGTGCTTGATCACATGGTACTATTTCATACCCCATTGGGGGTATTAGGTAATTGACAGTACATATGCAATATTGCCTTTCCATAATAAAAAGAAATCTGACTTCTGAAATGTATTTGCATCCAAACCTGCCAGATAAGGGACTGCAGATCTGGATTTCCTCTTCTTTTAAAGGTGATTTTCTACTATGCCTTTAAGAAAAATATATTGGCCAGGCACAGTGGCTCAAGCCTGTAATCCCAGCACTTTGGGAGGCCGAGGTGGGTGGATCATGAGGTCAAGAGATCGAGACCATCCTGATCAACATGGTGAAACCTCGTCTCTACTAAAAATACAAAAAAAATTAGTTGGGCATGGTGGCGCACGCCTGTAATCCCAGCTACTCAGGAGGCTGAGGCAGGAGAATTGCTTGAATCCAGGAGGTGGAGGTTGTGGTGAGCTGAGATCTTGCCATTGCACTCCAACCTGGGTAACAAGAGTGAAACTCTGTCTCAAAAAAAAAAAAAAAGAAAAATATATTATCTTTCTCTCTCTCTCTCTCTCTCTCGCTCTCTCTCTCTCTCTCTCACACACACACACACACACACACCAATTAAGATATAATTTCTTTGTGAGTGTAAGACATTGTATACTTTCCATACCTTTTCTCTAATTCTCACCAAAAAAGTAGCTGTTATTATTCCCAGTTAAAAAATACAAAAACTAAAACAAAAAAGGCTTAACTATTACTTTGCCCAACCACTAACACAAGCTATCAAATAATATTCTCATTTCTAAGGTTTTTAAATTTTCAACACTCTGCCCATAATTGGTTTCAGATTCATGCAGAACTGCTTTTTAAAGTAGACCCATTTATTTCACAGAGAGTGACCAAGGTACAGTCCATTTTAACACACTGCATCATTTTTTTTTTAAATCTGTCTATACAGACCTCCACAAAATTACCTGACAAAATAGAAAAACAAATTATTTTACCAGCTAATTAAAACAAAAGCTTTTTATGATAGCTGAAACAGAGGAAGATGAAGCTAAGAAAAAGAAGCAGGTGCAATATAGCATGAGACTAATACTCCTACATTTAATTAACTGGAAGTTTTTCTTTCTTATTAGTATTGATAATCAAATTTATAGGGAAAAAGAAAAGTCCTGACAATTGTGTCCCCATTTCAAAGCACAAGATTTAAAAGAAGAAACTTCCTTTTGTAAATCTGACCTTCTTACAGAGCTATGTACATGTTCTTGTAAGAAGCTTGAATATAAGAAGTTTCAAATGTATTGCATATACTTTACATATAAAAGCATGCTTAAGATATCTTAAGTATCCATTCATTCCTCCAGGAAATCCTCAAAATCTACCTCATATAGAGACCAGTCCCATGATACACAGTTCAGGTAACAATTCTACATTCTCTAAAACTTAACGTCTGCCTTTCTTCTGATAGCAAAGCAGTGAAAACCAATGAAGAAAAAATAGAATTTCTTATATGTTTACACAGTTGCTTTTATATGTAAAGTATATGTAATAAATTTGAAATTTTTTTATATTCAAGCTTCAAGTGAACTAAGGACATAATATTTGACACTTCAAGTATATTATTTCTAATATTCACAATTATCCTGCAAATATCATCCCAATTTTATAAATGAGGAAACTGAAGATTAGTAAACTTGAGTCCAAGGTTCATATCTAATAAGTCACAGAAGTAGGGTTTATACAAGCATCTAAGCACAGTTCCTTCCATTTCACCTTGCTAGAATATACTTAGCTTAGAATATTTCCTGTAAGGCAGGAATTTTCATCATGGCTATGATTTCTTCAGAATGTGGTATGTTGTAACACAAACAGAAAGCCAAATCATGAATCTGGATAATATTTAAATTGTCAAAAAAAACTAATCTTCTACTAATTATTTGCAGATCTTAATCAAGTTGTCAACTTCTCTGTGCTAAAGCTTCTCCACGTATAAAATATAGGGAATAACTTAGAGAGTTGGTATGAGACTGAAGTAAAATGTATAAAGCACTTAATACAATGTGTGATACAAAATAAACACTTCATAAATGTTAGCTATTTCAAGTGAGATGAGAAATTACCAGATGGCCATATTTTGTACCAAGTGACTCCAGCCAGCAATAGCTGGATACCTAACCCAAAAACAGTCAATCCTGACACTGGACTATGATTTAGTAGTAAAAGATGATGAGAGTCAGTAAAACTTCTCTCTCTTGGAAATTTGAATTAAAGACTGAGGCATTTATTTGCCTAAATGGCCTAGCTTTTCACCATCATCCATTTCCTACCATCAATGCTACCAATGACCTCTCTGTTGCTAAATCCAATTTTTTAGCCTTCATTTTGCATTGCTTGACAGCATTCAGTCTATTGAGTATTCCATTTATCTTGAAACATTCCTTTGGTTGTACTCTGATCTCTTCAGTCTCTTTGAAAGGCACTGAAATATTGCAGCTACTAAACACTTCATGCCAGGCCTCTTCTCCCTCTAGGCAATTTCATCCACACCCATGGCTTAAGTAATTATTTCTGTGTCAAAATAATTATCTCTATGTCAGTTTAAACTTTTCTTGTAAATTCAACTGCCTTGTCAATCTCTCTGCTTATTTGGATGTCATAAAGATAACTCAGTCTCCATACATTTAAAACCAAATTCATGATCTTTTCTCTCACACCTAGCCAAGGCCCCTTCCAATGCTCCCTAACCCAGTAACGGCACCACTAACTATCCAGTTGCACAATTAGAACATGAGACGTCTTTGATACTTCCTTCTCCATCATCTTCATATTTCACTAAGTCCTATTAATTTTATCTCCTAAGTATTTCTCAATTCCTTCTCTCCATATCCTCTGCTACCTTCTAAGGTCTCTCTATATGCACTCTTGTATCCTCTGTACTCTCCACACTGTAGCTGATGGAGAGTATATCCAATATCCACTCTTGTATCCTCTGTACTCTCCACATTGTAGCCAGAGTTACTTTTTAATTATTCTAATCATGGCATGCTCCCATTTAAAAGCCTTCAGTGGCTTCCCATTATTCTTAGGATTTCTGGCCCAAATTCATATCATAGTTTACAAAGTACTGGAAGATCTGGCTTCAGCCTACCTCTTCTCTCTTCCCATTGCCCCGCATGTACCCACATTTCTCTCCTTTCAGTTCCTTAAACACAGCATATCAGTTTCCACCTGTCTTGGGGTCTTTGCACATGGTTTTTCTGCTGTCTGGATCTCTCTTTGCCCTCTTCTTCAATTATCCAAACTCTATCATATCTCAGCGAAAATATCACTTCCAGACAATATCAGTAATTCAGTTATTCATTTAAGAAATATTTATTGAGAACATACTATACTTAGAACAATTCTAGACATGTGGTGTTGATAAAACAATGCCCTTGTAGAGCTTACATTGTAGTGGAAGGGGACAGGTAATAAGCAAAACAAGTTAGTAAATTAAGTAATATGTTCAAAGGCAATAAATGCTATGAGAAAAAAGGGAAAAGAAGAACAAGGAAAGCTAATACAAAGCAGGGAATTTCCAGTGCCTAATTTATTGCCTGGCATATAGCTAACACTCAATAAATATTTGCTGAGTGGATGAATGAATAAAGGAATGAGCATGTTCAAGTTATGAGGGAGCTAAAACTACAAGTAGAGGAGCTACTCAGTAAAACAGAGATGCCATGAAAGAAAGGTAAATAATGAGGTCTTGAAAGTTATTGGTTCCTTGAACCATTTCTGATGGTGTCATAGTTTTCAGTTCCAGTTTCTGGGGTGTGTATATGCTATAAACACACACACGCGCACACACACACACACACACACACATACACCCCTCAGGACTGAAATAATTCAAGTGGATTCTCTTGTAATGGTAATACCTGATCAGGACACATATACAAGGTTATGTATACCACTGCCACCACCCATCACACACATACCCCCAAATCACTGCTTTTCCACCCACACACCCATGTAATCCCATGACATCCAGTTCTTCAGTGGTCTGCCTCATTTAGAGGCAACTCCCTCCCGTATACTCAAAACTGTAAAAACCTTTGCTTTCTTCTATGACCCTGTAAGGCACCTAAAGCCAGTATCTCACAAAGCCCAGCCATATGCACAAGGGGTCCCCTCAGGAATATGATTTTGGGTCTCCCTTCCTGTCAGTCTCCCTGTCCCTTAAAGACTATCTTCCACCCACAGAAGTGTGGACATGCACTCCTTTGTGATTCTGAATGACCTTCAAGATCACTGATCCCACATACACTCACACTCAGGCTTCAGCCTCCTTTAGTAGGCACCTAAAGGACTGGGGCTCTGAGTGTCCCCTCAAGGCCTCTTGTCTTTTTAAGGGCTCATACAAGATTATTTACATAAATTTCTCTGTGACCAGGGGTGACCCTGAGGACACTGCACATCCCCAAACACAAATACTCTAACTCCCCCTTCCATGGCACTGTCTGATATTAAAGTAACACACCTTCCACGTATAGCTCCCTTTTTAGAGTCAGAGCCTCCTACTCCCACCCCCAGCCCAAATCATGCCCCTTTTAGGGATCTCTCCCATGCTCCCACAGAGCTGTGTACACCCTTTCCATGACACAGCCTAGCCCTAGGATTAGCCTTTACCACAGGTGATCCCAAGATTAGGGTCCTGGGTCTTCCCTCGGGTCCCAGCCCCTACCAGGCCCATGCTCCCTCAGAAGTCTGCACACTCCCTCACACTCCCGTCCACCACCTGGACTTCAAGGTCCCTGCCCGCCATTCAGAGGGGTACACACCTCCCTTGACCCCTGACCCTGAGGTCATAACCCACCGCGCATATATACAGGGGCGCCTCTTCAGGAGTAGGGCCATGCCAGAGTCCCCTATCCCTTGAGGCCCAGGACAGCCTGACCGCCTCAGCCTTCCCCAGATCAACCGCCCCCACAGACCTGCCTCAGGAGCCGTCTGGCTTCGCTCCGCCATTTTTGTTGTCCCTCAGTCTCGGAGCCCACGCGAAAACAGCGGGGCAGTAGGGAGCGGGTGGTGGGATCAGCCGGCTGACAGGAGCTCCCTCAGGAAGACGCGGCACGACGGTTGCCAGGGCAACGGGCGGCCGGCGCGCGGGCCGCCTGCGCGCGGCCGAGGGCGAGACGGACGCCTGGGAGGAGCTTGCGTCTGAGGCCCCGCCCCCGCGGTGCCAGCTGGGTCGGGAGCCGGGACCCTGGCTCCGCGACGCTGCTCTCCCACAACGGAGCCGCCGCATCCTGGCAAATAAGCAGGCTCTGCCACCCCTAGAGCGCAGGGGCCAGGTCTGTAGGGATGGCACTTTCTTGCCTGGGTCCTCGTACTGATAGCCCAGGCTAGCTAACCTGGCTTTTCTGTGGTTGATGCTCAACTTTGGGGACTTAGGACAGGTTTCTTGATTTCCCAGAGCTTCTCTTGGCTTGCCTGGGTGACTTGTCTTCAACTGAAACGCATCGAATACCAACTGTGTGCTCACCTCAACCCAAACACACACAGGCCCAAAGGGTTCTGACTCCTTGCTCCTCCGCGATGGCAGCAACTCTCAACAAGAAAAAACTTACCTTTTTGCTGATGTATTTTTCAGTAAATATGGGATGCTCTTTCCCACCTTTCAGTAGTGACACACATTATCTTCTAAGACCAACCTGGAACATTACCCTTCCTGACCAGCTCTGCCCTCCCACAGTACCCTGTATATGCCCTCTGTTTCAAATGCTTTTATGCATGATTTCCTTCTCGACCATGAGCTCTCTGATACCTGGGGTTGATCTCTTATCTTTGTATACTCCATAGTGAAGTGTGGTGCATGACACAAAGTAGGTATTCAGTCAATGTCTTCTTAATGGAAAATGATGGTAATCTGAAAGGAAGTGAGGTGGAGAAAGTGAAAGGGGAAAGGGGGAAAACGCTAACAAAAATGTGTTATTGAGCTGATTGCTTTAGTAGACAACTATTTTTAATCTTGCTGGAGACTCTTTGAAAAACAAGTTGGAATGTGCGCCTGCCGTGGTCCCACTAAAGATCATGGAGGCTGGGGCCTTTATCTCCTAATTTCTGTCTCCATTGATTGAGGGTTACTTTCCACCTCCCCCTTTGAACTCCCTCACCTTTCCTGGTTATCCTTGCCAGGGCCGATCAGAGTTCTAGAGTTTGAGAGAAAGCCTTGAGGCAGAAATGCAGAGACGGACCAGAAAGCCTTCTAAGTAAGATTCTGGCCACATGCATGAAACTATCCATTCAACTGCATTAAAATCAGGGATAAGAATCTTCTACAGAAAGTTCCATGAAAATATCTATCAGAATTATCTCTCACATTTGAACAGGTTAAAACTCACAAGCCATGTCCACACAACTATCAAGATGAATATATATGTGCTTTCCACAGTCCTAATGACAGTTATGTAAAGGCTGTGAAGGTTGTGGGAATTTCTGAGTCAGAGGAGTCATTAAGGGCTAAGAAAAACAAAAAACTACATTAAGCATAGGGAGCTGGAAAAATAAAGAGAAATATTTGGGTCTACTTTGACTGACCTTATAGCTTTAAGATCTTGGGTAAATCACTTAAACTCATTGAGCCTCAGTTTCCTCTTCCAACAAATTGAGACAAAGGTCCTGCCTACCACAAAGAGCTGCTCTAAGACACAAATAGGATGATGAATGAAAATGCATTTTGATGAGTATAAATCCAGTCAATGAAGAATCTAGCACAGTTTAGAATATTCACTTAAGCAAACATCCCCCATGCCTCTTCTAAGCCAGGCTCTGTGCAGGTGCTAAGGATTAAGAGACAAATATCACACTATTAAATTGAACCACATTGGTCAATTTAAATTTTAAGTAAAATTTAGAACTCAGTTACTTAATCAGAGTAGCCACTTTTCAAGTGCTCCATAGCTACATGTGGCTAGTGGCTACCGTATTGGACAACATATATATAGAACATTTCCATCACTGCAGAAAGTTCTGTTAGACAGAATTGATAGACAAATGCCTACTGGGCAAAGGAAATGAAAAGCCTGGAAAAACAGCTTGCTGACAGGACCAGGTTCAGTTCTCCTCTGTGTCAGCTATTCCTCAGGAAGCAGTGCAGGAGGAGTATAGACTTTTCACTACTACTGGAGCCTCAGAGACTTCCCTTTGTTGTGTGAAATAGCACAGCATGGTGAGTGGGGGAAAAATGTCCCCCACATGAGCTCCTGGGATTTGGTTTCCCCGTGCTACCATTCATATGTCCCTTGGAGATCTGTCTTTCCCAGAGACCTCCTATGGTTTCTGTCTCTACAGAAAACACCCACCCACCACAAGGATGCCTTCTTTCAAGCAAAATATACCCTATAGGATTCACCCACTCCCTCCATAAACATTTATTAAAATGACACCTTCCATGTGCCTGTCCACTAAGTTAGATGCAGAATGGAATGACAGCATGATTATAACTTAAATGGAATAAATATTTAGGTTATAATCACGTTTTTATATGCACAAACATTCTCAAAGCAGCATTATGAAATTGGTATTAATATCCTCTTGTACAGAAGATGAAATTGAGGCTCAGAGAGTTTAAGTGACTTATGCAAAGTTTCAGGTAAAGAGTAGCAGACTCAGGGAAGACTGAAATTATGCTAAGAAATGCACCTATGTATATCATGTAGTTTTCACATAAAAAATACTACACCTTTGAAGTTTAAAAACTAATTGGAAAGAAAGGATTAACGTGTACAAATTCAGTTTACAATTAATATCCAAACAATGTAAGAGCAATGATACAGGCATGCTCAGCAAAGTGGAGGAGCACCAAAGAGAGATGCTCTTGATGAGCATCTAAGAGGGCTTTCTGGAGGAAATGACCCTTAAGCTGAATATTATAGGATGAGGAGGGTCAGACAGATAAAAAATAAGGTAGGGAGAAGAGAGGAAAAGATACTTTTTAACCCAGTTTGTCACTTATATGTCTACTTTGCTTATGTTGGTCTGGTCACCTAAAAATGTTATCAGTCTTTTCTATTTGGCTTCTAACTTTTGTTTGCTTAAAAAAAATTGCACTATGCCAAGACTATAAAATAATTATTTTATGATTTCTCAATCTCTTAGGGTTACGTATTTTACTTTTACATCTTTGATCCATATGGAATTTATATTGGTGTAAGGTGGGAGATACAGATCCAACTTTATCTTTTCCATAGGGTTATCCTGTTGCCCAATCAACAGTTATTGAATAAACAGCACATTTTCTCTCCATTGATTTGAGGTATAACATTTATAATATATTTAATTCTGGTATTTGTTTGTACTGATTCCTGGGCTTTCTATTCCATTTCATTAATATAGCTAGAAATTCATGCACTAGTATTAAACTGTTTAAGCTGTTACAGCACTTTAAAATATTTGGTAGGACCAGTCTCACTCTGTATTAATCATGTTTTTAATTTTGTGTGTTTTATTATGTTCTGACATCTTAAAAAGCTTGTGGCCTGGGAAAAGAGAGTTCCTCCCAGTGCTAGCCAATTCTTAGCGATGGTAAAGGTTCCACCAGTGGGAGCACATCTTTCATATGCAAACCAACCAATCCTGAGTCCATAACCCCAATCACATCTTTATCTAACTCTCCACCCAACCAAGGTACTCCCACCCCACCCCCAAAATAATCCCAGGGCCAGGTACCAAGTAGCTAGAGACCATTTCTATAGCCACAGCCCACCAGAAGTATTCAAAATAGCCAGTCCTAAATGTTTACTCTGCTCTACCTTGCATTTCTCACAGAAATCCCAATAAGGGCTTTGGCCTGGGATTTCCCTTTGCTCCTGTGTTCCGACACCTAACCAAAACCCGGTGTTTCTCCTGTGGCTCTTCCTGGCATAAACTTATTTCCAAGCCTTATTCTCATTTACTTCTGTGGCCATACCCACTTATTCATACCACATCCAACATTTATATTCTTAAGACACACTTGTTAATCTGCCCTTTAATAAACAGACTATTCTTGTTTACTCTTTCCATGTAAAATTTTAAATCAGCTTGCCTAATTGCAAAAAATAAAAAAAGAAAAGAAAAGAAAATAATAATAATAATGTTGCTGGTATTTTATTAGAATTCTGGTAAATTTATAGATTAATTTAGGAAGAAATGACATCTTTATGATATTGAGTCCTTTTATCCAAGCACATGGTATATCTTATCATCTGTTTAAGTCTTCTATGTCCTTCAGAAATACTTAACAAATTTTCTTTTGGAGACATCTCTGTCACTGAGGCTAGAGTGCAGTGGTGTGATCTCCATTCACTGCAACCTCTGCTTCAAAGTTTCAAGTGATTCTCCTGTCTCAGCCTCCCGAGTAGCTGGGACTACAAGCATGCACCACCGAGCCCAGCTAATTTTTGTATTTTTTTTAGTAGAATCTGGGTTTTACCATGTTGGCCAGCTGGTCTCAAACTCCTAATCTCAAGTGATTCGCCCTTCCAAAGTCCTGGGATTATACTCATGAGCCACCACACCTGGCCAAAAATTATAATATTTTATATATTTTTTCATAATATGTCTTTAAAATCAGGTTTGTGTTTTACACTGATAGCATGTTTCAATCTGAATTAGCCACATTTCAAGTGCTCAGTAGATACATATGGCCAGCAGCTACCATATTGGACAGCACAGGTCTAAACACTCCAATTAAAAGGCAGAGATTGACAGAGTGAATTCGGGCGGGGGGAGGAATGGGGAAAGCAAGACCTAATTCTATGCTATATACAAGAAATTTACTATAAATATAAAGATATATATACGTTAAAGTAAACAGATGAAAAAACAGACTGTACAAACTTTACTAATCCAAAGAAGGCTAGATTAATATCAAAGTAGACTTCAGAACAAAATATATTGCTAAAAAGGTTAAAGACGACATTACATAATTACAGAGATCTTTTCAGCAAGAAGATGAGTAACATCATTCTTAATAATGAATTACTGAATACTTATGATGTAAGGCCTAAAAATAACATTATATGCTGCCTTCACATCTACAGGAGGGCCTGGAATTACCTAACCACAAGTTTTCCTCCCCATTCTCCTCACACAGATAAGGCCCCCAAGTCAAACAACCCTACTTATCAAACAGATCAGGTATAGTTCCTA